CACACACACACACACACACACTGCTGCACACCCTCCTCACACACACACACACTGCTGGACACCACACACACACACTGCTGCACACCCTCCTCACACACACACACTGCTGGACACCACACACACACACACACACTGCTGCACACCCTCCTCACACACCCACACACACACTGCTGGACACCACACACACACACACACACACTGCTGCACACCCTCCTCACACACCCACACACACACACACTGCTGGACACCACACACACACACTGCTGCACACCCTCCTCACACACCCACTGCTGGACACCACACACACAGACACACACACTGCTGCACACCCTCCTCACACACACACTGCTGGACACCCTCCACACACACACACACACACACACACACTGCTGCACACCCTCCTCACACACACTGCTGCACACCCTCCTCACACACACTGCTGCACACCCTCCACACACACACACTGCTGGACACCCTCCTCACACACACACTGCTGGACACCCTCCACACACACACACTGCTGCACACCCTCCTCACACACACTGCTGCACACCCTCCTCACACACACTGCTGGACACCCTCCACACACACACTGCTGCACACCCTCCTCACACACTGCTGCACACCCTCCTCACACACACTGCTGCACACCCTCCTCACACACTGCTGCACACCCTCCTCACACACTGCTGCACACCCTCCTCACACACACACTGTTGGACACCCTCCCCACACACACTGCTGCACACCCTCCTCACACACACTGCTGCACACCCTCCTCACACACACACTGCTGGACACCCTCCACACACACACACACTGATGGACACCCTCCTCACACACACACACACTGCTGCACACCCTCCTCACACACACTGCTGCACACCCTCCACACACCCTCCACATGCACACTGCTGCACACCCTCCTCACACACACACTGCTGCACACCCTCCTCACACACTGATGCACACCCTCCTCTCACTCACACACACACTGCTGCACACCCTCCTCACACACACACACACACACTGCTGGACACCCTACACACACACACACACACACACACACTGCTGGACACCCTCCTCCTCACACATCCTAACCTGGCGGTTTGGGCTGCAGGGCTCAGGAAAGGGTGGGGTGCAGATGTGTGACCTGGGCTGAACTGTGGGCACGGTGTGCGCCCCCGGGATTACTCCTGCCCAGCACTGGTGAGTCCCTTTCACAGGAAGGGGGTGGGCAACCTCTGCAGTGCTCCCCCACAGAGGGGGCTGGGCCATCCTCCCTCACTGCAGCCCTGCCCACACCTCCCCACCCAGGCCTGGAGCCCACTAAAGCTGCTGCCCTCTGAGTGTCCACCTGCTGCCTGTGTCTGCGCCAGTCCTGGGGTCTCACCTGCTGCGGTGGGCCCTGGGGCCCATGGGCAGGGCCCTGCGCTCAGACCCCTCCAGACCCCTATGAGACCCCACACTCAGACACCCCCCAACCCCTCCAAGACCCCACACTCAGACACCCTCCAGCCCCCTCTGAAACCCCACACTCAGACACCCCCCAGACCCCTCTGGGACCCCACACTTAGACACCCCCCAGACCCCTCTGTGACCCCACACTTAGACACCCCCCAGACCCCTCCGAGAGCCCACACTTAGACAACCCCCAGACCCCTCTGAGACCCCACACTTAGACACACCCCCTTCAGACCCCTCTGAGACCCCACACTCAGACACCCCCCATTCAGACCCCTCTGAGACCCCACACTTAGACACCCCCCGACCCCTCTGAAACCCCACACTCAGACACCCCCCAGACCCCTCCAGGACCCCTCGCTCAGACACCCCCCAGACCCCCTCCGGGGCCACTCACCCTCACCCAGCGCATAGCGGATGCGGGCATCCCAGGCCCAGAGGGCCTCGCGGCTGTCAAAGCCCAGCATGACGGCCTGGGACAGGCAGACGATGGCCAGCGTGTGGGCCAGGCCCTCATAGGGCAGGCCGGGCTCCAGGCCGCAGATGTCCTCCAAGGTCAGGCTGCTGCGCTCCCGGAGGCCCTTGGCCCTTTCCGACTTGTCCTTGTAGGCCAGCATCAGCAGGCAGTCTGCGCACACCGGTGGAGAAGAGAAGCCCTGAGCGGGAGCGGATCCCGAGCCCTTGCCTCACCCCACCCGTGGGCTGCCTCCGCCTTGCCCTCGGCCACGGGGCTGCAGAAGCCACGGCCCACGGCTCAGGAGAGCGGGTGCAGAGCCTCCAGGGCAGCCCGGCTCTGCTCGGCCCCCACCTGGCCCGTGCCAGCTGCCCGCCGCCGCAACCCAGGTCATGCCTGGTGGCTTGGTTTTTAGGCTTCCAGCCAGGAAGGTGAAGTCGAGGGGTCGCTAGCTCCTGGCCCCAAGCCTTGTGCTTCCAGCACCCCACGCCGGCCGCCTCCTGTGTCCCGGCCCTGGGCCCCGAGCGCCCCAGGTTCCCGTCCCAGGACCAGAGTCTCCCATGACACCTGTCACGCTGCCTGTTTGCTCCCGGAGCTCCCGGTGAGCATGTCACCCTAGGGGTGCAGCTTGGCCAGCGCAAACCTGGACCCCAAATGTGTTCCCGCCTACTCACTCCTGCAGAAGAGACGAGGTGGGACTAGGGAAGCCATGTTGCTGACCCTCCCCCTCCAGGCCCCCCACCCCCACCCCGGGCCAGCTTAGGACCAGGGCTCAGGATGCCCGTCTCTGAGGAGGGTGTAGGTCTGGGGACCTAATGCAAAAACCTACACAGACTTCATGTGCAATGACCCCAAATCCACACAAAGCTCCATGGAGTAAGCCCGGGTCTCATGCAGGGGAGGAAGATGGAGGAGAAAGCCGGGCAAGGGAAGGGATGCGGCGAGGCCGTGGCCTCTGGCCAGCACTGGCTCCGGGGCCCTGGGGCCGCCCACTCTGTCTCCACAACCCAAAACCGCCCTGGCATCCCGAGACCGTGTGTGCCAGGATGCACGGCCATGTGCCAATAAAGCAAGGTACAGAAACCAGCCTTCCACCTCCTATTTGTACCTGCAGCCTCTACATGCTTATAACCAGAAAGGAAAACAGTAAAGGCAGTCCCAGTTTGAGAAAGCAGAAGGCCTGAGCGGCAGAAAGCCCTGTGCCCAACTCAGCCCCGCGCCCGGTCCCCCCAGCGTGGCCCAGAAGAAAGCCCTGTGCCCAGCTCAGCCCCGCGCCCGGTCCCCCAGCGCGGCCCAGAAGAAAGCCCTGTGCCCAGCTCAGCCCCGCGCCCGGCCCCCCAGCGCGGCCCAGAAGAGGCTCACGCAGATGAGAGGTGGGCAGAAGCGGCCCAGAGGGAGGGAATTGAACAGGCAGCACGGACGGGGTCTTTTGAGAATGTTCCCCAAACACACATCTGGGACAGGATGGGGTTGGGCTGGGGGAGGGGCTCCTGCACCTGCCCCAGCGGCTGACACGTCCCATCCTGTCCCCAGCAGGCGCCCATCCACCAGCCTGGGCCTGGGTGAGGAGTGGGGGGGGGGTCCTTGTGTGGGTGTGTCAGTACTGCTCCCACACCTGCCTGCTGTGGATGCTGGCAGGGACCCAGAGTGAGGAGACAGGACAGGCCCAGAGCTGGGGGACAGGACAGGCCCCACAGCTGGGGGACAGGACAGGACAGGCCCAGAGCTGGGGGACAGGACAGGCCCAGAGCTGGGGGACAGGACAGGCCCAGAGCTGGGGGACAGGACAGGCCCAGAGCTGGGGGACAGGACAGGACAGGCCCAGAGCTGGGGGACAGGACAGGACAGGCCCAGAGCTGGGGGACAGGACAGGACAGGCCCAGAGCTGGGGTCAGGACAGGACAGGCCCAGAGCTGGGGGACAGGGCAGGCCCAGAGCTGGGGGACAGGACAGGCCCAGAGCTGGGGGACAGGACAGGCCTGAGCTGGGGGATGGGACAGGCCCAAGCTGCTGGCGGATCAGAACTGGAGACAGCAGGACCATGTTGCTTGGACATAAAGTGGCTCCGAGATTCTCGTGTGTGCTGGGTCCTAGGGGCTGACTGGAAAGGGGGAGCGTGGCCTGGGGCCTGGGCCTGCCTGGGGCCTGGGCCTCCTCCCGCCCCTTTCCTCCTCCCCTCCCTCGAGTGGTCTTCCGCCCAGCTCCACCACTGCCTGCCCCGCCTCCCACGGACCCCACCACGAGCCCATAGCGGTTCCTCGGCTGTGACTGAGACCTCAGGAACACCAAACCAACCTTTCCTCGAGTTGTTCTGATGCTCAGAGTCGGGGAGCAGCGAGGCTGCCACGTCCCTGGGCACCACACACCTGAGGATGCCAGGCAAGGGCCTGCATGACTGCAGCAGCCTGTCTCCGGGGAACAGCCGTCCCTCCTGTCCATCTGTCTGTCTGTCTCTCTCTCTCTCTCACTTGCTCGCTCACTCATACACTCTTCTGCACATGACAACACACACACCGGCACAGCCCACTCCTGCAAGAGGCCTACAGCCGCATGTGCAGTGCACACGCATGGGTACACACTCACCCGCACTCATTCCCACAGCCACGAGCCCCCCTGGGGCGCGGGGGTCCCCACCCGGGATGAATGCCCTAGGTTCAAGCCCCATCTGTCCACCAGGCTCGTCTTCTGCCTATTGGGGCACACACAGATGGTGGGGCTGAGGTGCTGGCAGAGCTGGCCCCGGGGGCACGTGGCCAGGCGGGGCTCGGTGGCCAAGAGCTGTGTGGTGAGCTGCAGCCTGGCCAGGCCTGGGACAGACCAGCTGGGCCGCTGCCCCGTCCCCATCCCGTGCTCCAAAGGAAGCAGGGTGGAGGGAGTCACCAGCGCCCAGGGCCCCTCCTCACCCTGCTCTAAGGTCACCGCTGAGGGGACGGCCAGAACAGCAAGGGGGTACAGAGAAACGGGGGGGGGCGAGTCAGCAGCCCCGGGTCGCCACCAGCCGCTCTCGCGCCCTGGGCTCCCCTCCCCGAGACCCCTGCGCTCCCTGCAGGGCTTTTGGCCTAGTGCTCAGCTTCTGCCAGAACACCTGAACACCCCTGCCAGCCAATCCATGAGCAACTGCGTCCCCAGGCCCCGCCCACACGGCTGATGATTGGTGATGAGGGGGCACACCTATACTCCAGCAGCCAACAGCAGTGACAGAGGGTGGCCCTGGGGGGGGGGGCGGTCCTGCAGGAGGAGACAACCCACAGAACCCCAAGGGGCCCAGCCCAGTAGCCCCATGAAGACTGCCCATGCATGCGAAGGTCCCGAGGCCTGGCCTTTGGGCCTGCTTAGGGCCCCCAAGGCCAAGCTGGGCAGAGGGAAGGAGGAAGGGCCTCCGGCTGCACGGCGGGCACGGTGCCAGGGAGCTCTAGGGGCATTAAGTGCAGAAAGCCATCCGCTGCATCTAGGCCCGCACGGGGGATGGGCCTGGTGACCACAGGGCTGCCCAGGCCAGGGGCCCAGCCGGCCCAGGTGGCCGGAGTGAGGGGGAAGAAGGCTCGGGCCTCTGGCTCTGATGACTTCACCTGCCCCAGCTGTGTCGCCAGGTTGCATGGGGGTGACATAAGGGTGAAAGGGTGCGTGGGGAGAGTTCTGAGGGCCAGCTGGGCCAGGGGCCTTCCACGGGCGGTGAGGCTGAGACACCCACCTCACACGGAGTAGATGCAGGCGGGCGCGTGGGAAGATGTGTAAAAATAACACGAAGCCTTCATAGCCAGGCTGGGCCCAGGAAGATGGGAGACGGAGCTGGGAGGCCAAGGCCCGAGAGAAGAGGCTAGAGGGGAGGCGGGGAGTCCACACCCACCCAGCATGAGGAGGGAGGCCCATCTGCCTAGGGATCCAGCCTGAGGTCACAGCGACCTTGAGGCTCAGCCCTCCCTCCACAGAGCTGCAGACCGGAGCCCACAGGATCTGCAGGGCCATCTGAGGAGGCTGGACAGCGTCCGAGACACCGACCAGACAGAGGCAACCAGGACACACGGGGACCAGGACACACGGACCCAGGACACACGGACCCAGGGAACTCAGAGACAGAAATACGTGCTTCCAGACCTGATCGCCACCTGCCAGGGAGGAAGCATTTGTGTTCACTGAGTTCCTCACATAGCACTGCCCAACACAAGCAGGGAGGCCTTCCCAAAAACCCAAGGGGGCTCGGCACGCAGGCCCGGGGCTGGGCAGGGCCGGCGGCTGCTCATCGCCGCCCCCAGCCCCGCTGACGGCTGAGGCTGTGGCTCTCCCAGGCGGTGTCAGCGCTCAGCCAAGCTTCGGAGCCCGCACTCACAGTGCCAGTCCCAACATGGGGGCTGCAGGAAGCCTGGCCCCTGGGGCCTGGCCCTGCCCTGTGGGCTCTGCACAGGGACAGACCGGCTACAGCTCCATCCCCTCCCCGGCCAGGGCTGAGATGTCACCCGGCCCCCCGCAGTGGAGCAGAGCTGCTAAAGTCGGGGACCCTCTCAGGAAGGCAGCTGGGCCCTGCCTCTGAGACCTTTGACCTCCTGGAATGGGGCTCTTGGGACAGCAGCTTCCAGGCTGCCTCTTCCTGTGTGGCCGTCTGGGCCCCGGCCACTGGGCTTCTGGCCTTCGGCCTCCAGATCTATACTGATCCCAGAGGTGCTGCCATCTGCAGGACTGGGGTTCTTCCTGAGATTTTCCTCCCACGTGGATGCCGTGAGCAAGGCCTCTGAGCCGCCAGGAAGCCACCCTGTGGCTCCGTAACCACCTCAAGCGCCCAGCCTGGGCCGCTCAGCACCTCCCCCAGGTGCCAGACATCCCCATCCTGAGCCTCACACCAGCAGCGAGAAAGGGAGGTGCTGAGACAGGACTTGGGTCTCAATGAATCCCCCCCACCAGGACAGAACCCAAACTGTTCCTCTGTCAGAGACCCCAGTACAGAGCAGGGAACCCAGATTTGAGCCTCCAGCCAATACAGGCTGAGATGCAAGGGGCACAGTCCCACTAACAAACACCCTAACCCCCCCGGGCAGAGCGGATGAGGACCCACACACCCACAGGCCGTTCTGGGGGCTGCGGCTGGGCAAGGGGCCGCGCTGTTCTGCGCTGCCCTGGCTCACTGGCTGTGGTGTGCCTGCCACAGAGGGCCGAACCTTCTAAACGTGCCTTTGATGTCAAAAATAAATCTTTCTTCTGCTAGCTAAACCCAGGACAAGGAGATGGAGCAGGAGCGGGCATGGCCCCCGTCCCCGCCAGTCCCCACCCCCATGCTCTGCACTACCACGGGAAGCACGCCGCCCAGAGCCCACATCCCAGACGCTCATCCCAAGACGCTCATCCCAATGCGCCTGCCCCAGGCTCCTTCCTGGGCCCCCTGGCCTCTCTGGAGGCTCAGCCACGCCCACCCAGCCACCTCAGCCCTGTGGCTGGCCACAGCCAAGAACCTGGCCCCCCGGCCTCCAACGTGCCTCCTGGCAGCCCCTCTCCCCTCTCCACCTGCCTGCTGGGAGCCCCTGGCTCCTCCCCAGTGCCCAGTCTCCCTGCCACAGGTATCTGGAGCTCCTACAACAGGCCCCGGTCAGGCAGCCCGGCCTCAGCCTGGGAGTGCCAGCCTGCGGGGCCAGGGGCCCAGGGGAAGGAGGCTGAGCCCCACCAGAAGCACACGGCCACAGACTCTGTCCACACCCTCCCTCGGTGCTGACAGATGCCCGGATGTCCCGGAAGCCACCCTGGCCATCCTCACGTGTGGGGCCTCCGGGCGCGGCCCTCCTCGGACCCCCCGCGCCTGGGCGGGCTCCAGGGCACCTGTCCCCTAAGCAGCTGCAGAGAGGGCTGTCGGCCCTGGGGCAACTGCGCCCGGCCCAGCTGGAGCTGCCAGAGCGCCTGGCCCCGCCACCCTCCTCCATGCTGAGGTCGCTGGCTGGGGGCTGGCTTGGGGGGTCTTGCCCCTTCCCAGAGGCTTGCTCCCTACACCAGGTAGCAATCCAACCCACGTGTGTGTGCGTGCGCGCGCGCGCGCACACACACACACACACACACGGGTGCACAACGCTCTTCCCACCGGGAACCAGCCGAGGCAGAGCCCAGCAGCATAGCGCTTGGGGATCCTGCTCCCTGCTGGCTCCCTGGGTGCCCAGGACGGCAGCCCCCCAACCCTAGCCGGGCTGCTCCCCTGGGAAGGATGGGCTGCACCTGTCACTGGGGCCTGTCATCCCTGCCCGCCCCGGGTGGGCTCCTGGTCCCCGGTCTCCGGGTCCCCAGGTCCCCCCACCTCTCCGATTACCGCCGGGGCAGGGTTTCAGCGGCCTGGCCACACCGGCTATTTCGGGCGGCCGAGCTGGCGCCGCCGCGCTGACTCTGCCCCAGGCCCGCGGGGTGAGCGGCTGTGCCCGGCACCCCACGCCTCACAGCCCCGTGCCCCACACCCCAAGCCCCGTGCCCCACACCCCGCACCGGCCCACCGCCGCTCACCTGCCACCGGAGACGGCTTACGCAGCACCAGCCACCTACTCTTCCACTGCGGGGGACAAGGACAGCGTGAGCGGCCGCCCCGCGCCCCCCGCCCCGCGCCCGCGCCGCGCCCCGACCTTCTTGCCGTCCCTCAGCTTGACCTGGCCCTCCACCAGCGCCGCTTCGGTCATCTTCTGTCATGGTTCCGCCCGCCGCCGCGCCGCAGCCGCCGCCCCACAATGCAGCGCGCCCAGGCGTTCCCGAGGCTCGCGCGAAGCCACACGGGAGCCCGCAGGCCCAACCTGGCCTGGCGCCTCGGGGAGCTGACGCCGTCCGCGCCATCTTGACTAAGGGCAGCTTTCTGCTATTTCCGTTGCTTCTCTGGGAGAGGCCGCCATCGTCAGTGAGGGTGAGGCGGCGAGACGGAGCGGGCAGGGCAACGGGCTGGGAAGACACGAGTGGGGAAGGGAAGCTGCAGGCGGGTAGCGGAGCCGCTGTCCCCCCCGGCCAGAGGCTAGCCGGAGCGCAGCGGGCGCCCGCGAGGGCCGAGGGTGGGCGCCGCGGCCGCCTCGACGCCGGGACACTCACCGCACGACGCCTTGCCCTCTGTGGAGTCGCAGTAGCCGCAGTGGTAGCCGGCCTTCAGGCCCTTGTACTCCACCACCGAAGCCATGGCCGCCGCGCGGGCCTCGCAGCGGGCCCCGCCTCTCGACG